TTTTGGAATAAAGGGTGGCCTAGATAAACATAATTAGATACGGTAAAGGCACGTGTGGAAACCTTTTGAAGTTGCGAAGCTAACACAAGCGTTGGGTTATTGCATTTGTCTCTATTATACAGAGATCCGACTTTAGAATAAAAACTTGGTGTTTTTTTTTTAATTTTAGGACATTTTAAACAGCGCCATCTAGTTTCAGCAGAGCTTGTCATGGGTACTAGACAACTGGTGTATATAAATTGATACATTTTTTTTGTAAATATACATAGATAACATCCACACTGATACAACCAATCATACTCATGATTATAAATATTCGTACCGCGGGAGGAATCGAACCCGCGACCATTGGAAGTAAGGCAGTATATTAAACCGCTACACCATCGAGGTCGTTGAGGTCGAATAGAATTGTTAGTAATGAGAACTGGTAACCAAATTGCTGGCAAATGTCTGACCTACTCTGGCAACCGTCGTGATTAATTCTTAGTAATTTGTTACTATGGGCTAAATGACCTCATGTTCATCTTAAAAACTGCTAGGTTTATCTTAGATAGCGCTATGTGAATTATCCAGGGTTAACTTTATAAAATGTGCTTGCCAGATTCGAACTAAAGACCATTGTAAGTCGGGGTAGTAACCATCGCTACCCCATAACACACAATGACCGTTAATAGTATTCCTTATTTGTTCTTTTACAATGTTAACAATAATATACATATCCGTTTCAAAGAGCTACAATGTAAACATTAAAATAAAAATACAACATCAAAATAAATAATATTGGAAAATACTCTTGTGTCCGGAAATTTCTAGAATATTCTAGCGGTACGGAATTTTGAAATACCGACCCTGTGGTATCCATAATAAAGATTAAAGCGCATAAAAGTGAGACATGCATTGCGTGTCGGGAAATATTGAATAGAACGATCGTACAGTAATTTATATAGATGAAGTGGCTTGTGATATATATAGTTCATAAATGGAATTTGATATCAAGATGCAAAATTTAAAAATGGAACGCAATATTTTTTATAGCACTAGAGGTAAACTGTAACATAATTTAATGGACAATTTGAAAAAGGAATGCAATAATTTATAAATATCACGAGAGGTAAAAAGCAGTTTGCTTGGGTGCCTTAGTCTGCTCATTTCAAATAAAAACAAATAGAATCATTAAAATTATTCGATTAAATCACATCACATAGATTTCATGTGACAGATTCATTATAGCTTTATAGACGATTTCCTTCGCCTTTAGGTCTTTACAAACCACGCCCCCACAGTACGTCTGGTTTATGGCAAGTGTTGTTTTTGGCGCGAATTTTACGGCGATGGATGGTGTTAAATATTGGATGACGACAGCTCGTCGAGATATCACGCCAATAAAACTGTTGACACGGAACGTTTATATTGCTGATAGCCTTATTTTTAACCGATTTCCGAGTAAAAGACTCAATTCTTCTATATTTGTGAATTTGTGAATTTGTCTACGTATGTGTGTATGATAGAGAGAGAGAAAATGGGTGTGTGTTAAGCAAATTCTCGCTTGAATTTGAACTATTATAATTAAGTTGAGTCTTTTTAATAATTGTAGTATCTGTTCCACTCCCATAGATACATTTTTTGTTTCATAAAAATAACTTACAATAATAGATGTATAATAATAACAAATAAATAAATAACCCTGGACAATTAAAACAGCGCCATCTAGTCCCACTGTACTGGACAATTAACACAGCGCCATCACCTCCCTCGGTAAGCAGAACTTCTATTATGGGTATTAAACCACTGATATGATTTTTTAAATACATAGATAACACCCAGACCGATACAGTCAATCATAGTCATGATTACAAATGTTTACACTAACCTGCGACCATCGGAAGTAAAGCGGTGTGCTCACCACCAGATCACCGAGGCCGTCAATAAAAATGACTATTTTATTACTATCTGTGTGTTTGTATAGTTGAGTTACGATAACATAATATCTATGTGATTAGCACTCATCTATTCCTGTTTTTATCTAAATCCACTCACATTTAATAGCTAAACGTACACACAGACAACCATACTAATAACTAGCTTCAGTAAGTTAAAGTTCTATGGTAAAGTTATATTAGTATGTATATATCAGCATGGAATATAACTTTATTTTTCTAAAATAAAAGTAGCCCAAGTTACTTCTTATTACATCAGCTACTTGCCAAAAAAAGTCCCGTCAAAATCGGTCCAGCCATTTCAGAGAGTAGCCGGAACGAACAGACAGACAGACAAAAATTTTATAAAATGTTATTTTTGTGAATGTGCCATATTTATATTCATATGGATGTAGTAAAAAACGGTTATTTCAATATTACAAACAGACACTCCAATTTTATTTATATGTATTGATAATAATAAACTTAGGACAATTCTCGCTTCGCCATCCAGACCCAAGTTAAGCTAGCTAAAGCTTGTGTTATGGGTACTAGATAACTGATACAAGCACATAATATATTTTTTTTCGTAAACATACATTTATACTCATAAATACAAATGTTTGTGCCGTGCGAGGCATCGAACCAGCGAACGGAAGTAAGGCGGTGTGCTAAACCACTGGACCACGAAGGCGTCAAAGAAATAGCAATAGGAATATTATCTGCTAGAAATAGTTTAGCAAACAAAACATAATAATCTATTTTTATAACCGTATCAAACGCGAGGTTGAACCCATTTTATTTTTGTTAAAAAAAATATTTATACAGCGTCAAACGCATCGTGGGGTTATGGTTTGATCATTGGTATTAGTATAGAGGTAATAAAATATCTCGCTTCAGGGACTGAAATAGATTTTCATGAACATATGGAATCACTTCAAAAGTTTGTTATAGTATAGTAGTTTTTTTAAATATGCTTTCTTGATATATGATAGCGTAGCGGCTTTTGTATTGATTGCCGCATGCATCCTCATGTACAGTGCGAATACTGTAACTACCATATAGTAATTTTTGTAGCTGTGACGTGGTCGAGTGGAATGAGTAGTCATGCTCACTAAAATGTCCAGACATGTGGCGGCGTGGTGGGCCGGATCATTGGGCTCCCTACAATATGGTCGAGCGCAGTGATGGCCGGCTCATCCGTCATACCCGTGAACGAGTGCTGCTTGTAGGGACTGGTCTGCTCTTATCACTACGACTGATTTAATCTTATTGTGTTTTTATATTTGTGCCTAAATAAATTAGTGCTGGTTGGTAGTTTGTATTCACACGTTTCGACTTGTAAAATGTGAACTTACAAGGATTGTTTAAAAGAGCAACACACAAGTTTCTTACACACAAGCTTATTCTTCTAGACAGCTTTCCGAATACGCGGTAGATTTAAAAAAATGTTGACTATTCAAAAGTGCTTAAATTATGTTTATTTGAATAAATGATTTTCTATTCTATTCTATTCTATTTACGGGTGGCAATAGTCCATTAGCCTGCGCTAGCGGTTTACGCTGGCGGGGCACCAGTGGAGGATGTTAAGATGAGCATGAGGTCAGGTCCGTCACCCCATCTTTACAAATTCATCAAGAATTTATCACGATGGTTTCCAGGGGGAACCGCGTTGAGCTCAACCTGACATGGTACATTGCTTGCAATATGATCATCAGTCCACATTACTAACAATCCCCTTTCTCCCCATACACTATAGTATAGATATATATATAGATATATATACAGTAGTTAGATAGATAGATAAATAGACAAATTCTTTACTCAACTTTTAAAAAAAATTACAAACGCATAAAACGACCTCGGTGGTCTAGCGCTTTAGCACACCGCCTTACCTCCGATGGTCAGGTTTGATTCCTCGCACGGTACAAACATTTCCAATTATGGGTATGATTGTTTGTGTGTTTTCTATGTATATTATTGTTGTTATATATGTATTTTTTATATGTTTATTATGTTATGTATGTTTTATATGTATTTACAAACAAACATCTATGTATTTATATCACTTGTCTAGTACCAATAACACAAGCTCTGTTAACTTGGGACTGGATGGCGATGGGTGAGTCGTCCTGAGATATTATTGTTATATTTTCCCCCGAACTTCTATAGTTAACTGTCCCTCTGTCTTCCCCATCTGTGATAATAAGTCTTGAATATATATTTACGAAACGTTTTCTAAAGTAGATCCTGAAGGCACGACTATACGATTTCCTATGTTTTTCGCTCATTCAGTAATGGATATAAAAATAAAAGTAGTAAAAACGGAACGTACCGATATTTGTGCTGTACGAACGGTTTTACGATCGAGCGCTAAAACCGATATTATACGATTTTTAACCGATTACTTATATTTATGTTCTAACGTCGATTTTTCGTTTGTACGATTTTATATAAAAGTTGATAGTGGAGTGATATAACGACTATCGGAAATGGAGGGAAAGGGATTGTTAGTGATGTGGACTTCTAATCCCATTGCTAACAATTTGTCATGTCAGGTTGACCTCCACGCGGTCCCCTTGGAAACCATCGTGATAAATTACTGGTGAATTTGTCACGATCATCCTCCATTGTTAAGAAGGCAAGTGCACCATTTCATTATCATCCATTAACAAAAGACTATGTACTTAGGTGTATTTTAGCGTGAAAGCGAGATAGACAGACAGATTTACTTTCGCATTTAAAATATTAGTAAGGATTCAAAAAATATCTTTCCACTCTACATTCATTAGCACCATCTCTTTCTGCGCGCACACCGTCCCAAAAGCGGAAAACAGATTCCAATTTAGCTATCTCAAAAAGATAAACCATTATTTCGCAATATAGGTTACCTCGACGGAATCATTCAGTTGCAATGATAATGTTATCAAATTACGAAATAAACAATACTTTATACGGTACGTGCATCCCATATCGGCGGTAGATGAAGCACTATCATCTTAAGATAAATCGAGATAAACTATAACATCGTATGAAGTCGAAATATCATTGTTTAACTCCTATTATTCAGGTTCGGTTAGCGAAATGTTGGACAAAATTGTTCTATTCGGTTGTGTTGGTTTGATATTGAGTTATCCAAATTATTTTGAGACGAAGAAGTTTCGCGTTGGCATCGAATATGACAGTGAGTATTTAAATGGTTTTATCAGACTTATGTATGACTATGATGTAATGACTGCCTCAGTGGTGTAGCGGTTAACACGTCTGACTTGCGATGGTCGCGGGTACGATTCCTCGCATTGTACAATTTTTTGTGTTCTTGAATATGATTGTTTGCATCAGTCTGGATGTTTCCTGTGTCCTAGTGTCCTAATTATAAAACAACTGTCTATATATTGGTATCAGTTGTCTACTACCCATACACATGCTCTGAACACGCAAGTTTTTACTCGTTCTTCTTGAGATGAGTCTGCGTTCCGAATGAGTGGTAGATTAAACAAATGTAAAAAATTAAAAATGCTTATATTAAGTTCATTTGAATAAATATTATTTCTATTTCTATATCCATAGAGAGACAGAAATATAAACTGACACACAAACTTCTAATTTATAACCACTATGCATATATTTTAAAATTCAAAGGTATATCAAACACTTTGTACCTATCCCTTGTTACGAAATTTGCTCGAGCGAAGGTGTATAAAATTTTTAGTTTTATAGTTTACATATAGATGTTTTTATGCATAAAAATACATTAAATCAATAAAAAAACCTTAAATACACAAGCATATATTATCTTTTATTTACTGTTTAAGTCTATGGTCAAATTCAGAATAGATTAATATTGTTTGTCTTTAATATTATTTGTCTATAGTCATACGGAATGTTAATTTAACTATCATCGAATTTCGACCCACTCGTATTATTCGATTACTAATATTCTCGCAGAGTCGTTGCCCATGGACGGTGGTGCAGATCGCTACCGTCACAGAAATAACTACGACCCGTTCTTCGTCACAGTCACCACGGAAGCGAGGGTTTGTATGTCATATTTTTATCGTTAACTTACTGGTTTTGGTAGGTGTCGTCCTGCGGAACTTTTTTATATTAGCTGTGACCGCAGCTTCTGTGTTTAGCCTCTGTGTTATTGTGATGCATAAGCTATATTATTGCAAAGTTTCATTAAAACGTTTAGCCAACTTGTTTACCAATTGCATACCAAATGAGAACCCCGGGAGCAAAGCTCTACTATAAGAGCTAATTAATACAATAAGTATTTAATTTTTAGTTCATGTATACATAATTTTGACGGCCTTAGTGATCTCTTTTCACACCGCTTTACTTCCAAAGGTCACGGGTTCGATTCCTGTATACAATAATCTGCATTCACGAGTATAATTGTTTGTATCGGTCTGGGTATTTTCTATGTATAAATACAAAAATATCTATATATTTATAACAGTTGTCTAGTACCCATAACACAAGCTCTACATACCTTGACCATATGTTATCTGTGCCTTGACTAAATGATGCTGTGTAGATTGTCCTGAGACATTATTATTATTATTATTATTTGTGTTGGTTTTTAATGAGTAACGGGGCTGCTTGAAATCCAGCACTGTATAGGTGCACCTCATTGAGTTAGGGGGAAAGGGGATTGTTAGTAATGTGGATTGATAACCCCATTGCTAGCAATGTACAATGTCAGGTCCACGCGGTTCCCCCTGGAAACCATCGTAAAACATTCCTGGTGAGCTTGTTACGATGGGCTAACTGACCTGACCTTATGCTCATCTTATCATCTTCCACTGGTGCCCCGCCAGCGTAAACCGTTAGCGTAGGTGGGTGCACCATTCCATTGTCATCCATAAAAAAACCTCATTGAGTTGTGCTTATATCAGCAACAGCTGAGGCAGCTCCTATTGCCAACTTTGTTTTTTTATTCTTGTGTATGCTTGTTTATTTATTTATTTATTTATTTATTAGAAAATCAACAGCTTAGAATCCAATAATCAACTCAGTCAACATATTATGTAGTATTGTACATAATATGTTAATCTGTTAATGTTGGTAATAAAGGTTTATCTATCGATGAATCGGTCTCTCTATCGATCTATCTAACGACCGATCTATCGATATATCTATATATTTGTAATTATTTTTCAGAATGGATTCGTAATCACTTTCTTAGACGTCACGGCGACCATTGACGCACCTGGCGAGGTGACCTTCAATATGGTGAAGGGTCAGACGGGCTCCAAGACGATGGTGTTCCAACTCGTGTCTAACCACACAGATTTCCTATCGTACCACTACCTGGCATACGGTATGAGGGAAGCCGATTATAAAAAGGTGACGACTGTTTCCATGGACAGTATTTTAGGTTAGTTTTATTTGACGGCCTCGGTGATGTAGCGGTCTAGCACACCGCTTTACGTCCGATGGTCGCAGGTTCGATTCCTCGCACGGCACAAACTTTTGTATCCATGAGTATGATTTTGTATCGGTCTGGGTGTATTCTATATATAATATGAATTTACGAAGAAAAAAATATCTATGTATTTGTATCAGTTGTCCAGTACCCATAACACAAGCTTTAGCTAGCTTAACTTGGATCTAGATGGCGCTGTGTGAATTGTCCTGAGATTATTTATTATTATTATTTTATAATACAGAATTAAGGTTAAAGGCATGTAATTGTAATATCAAACATGCTGACGGCCCGCCTTATGGTAAGCCGTAATCTCCTAGTATTAACATCGCTCCCCAATCGATGCACCGTCTAATTCAAACGGGTATTGAAATAACGACGCTCTGAACTGGGCTTCGAACCTCTAGCGGTGCCCTCAGACTAAAGTCGTATCCGTCAGGTGGGAGTTGGCCTTCAGCCGCTCCATAAGTCCTTCCGCGGGTTTGGAGTGCCATCTGCACTCGCCCTCTATCGTCCTGCTGCGGCCAACAGCATTAGAGTAGTCCGATAAAAAAGCTATACAGCCATGACGCACTCGTCATCCTATCAAGTAGGATCCTGCGCGCCGTGCAATATTGTGCATCTGTGGCGCATTACGTTTGCGCGGGAAAAAAAGTCTATAAAAATATTTATTTATTTAAAACTTTATTGATTTTGTACAATAGGCGGGCTTAATGCTAATAGCATTCTCTACCAGCCAACCTTAGGGAGTGAGATTTAGATAGATTCTTCAGCAGATATATAAATTTTCTTGTGTTCGTAATTCTTAATCTTGTATATAAAATTCTCAATTCACAATTTTAGTTACCACACTCGTCCGAAACGTCCGATTTTTATGATTTTATATGCATATTCTGAGAATCGGTTATTATCTATTTTTCATAACCCTAACATTATTTATGTTTTTTTATAATATGGCATTAAAAAGTACTTACAACTCTAAATTTTCACCCTTCTATCGATATTCTACCTATTTTTTAATGGCGATTTTAATTTATATAGCAAAATAATGTAATTTAATAATAAGTCCCTATAATCAAAACACATTTCTCAAAGCAAGCTGCTTGCCGAATAAAATATATAAGACTAAGGTATATATTTTACCGCAGACTATTAAATTAAAAGAAAAGTTTACTTATATATCATTCATGTATTCATATAGTCACCATTAAAAACAAAGCAACGCAAACAATCTCTAACAGACTTGCTTGTTACAGACAGGCGTTGCAACAGCTACTTATAACTTATATACCTAACTTTGTAAGATAAAGATATAAATAAAGTCATAGATTATTTCGTATATGAATAGAATATAACATCTCTAAAAGATAGATAGTGATCAATATTTTGAAGATAGTTCTTGGAAAATTGTACTAAAAATATATCGAAACTGCGCCATCTATGTCACTATAATGATAACTGCATAATGCAAATAGCAAGGTTGAAGTATGTATGCCAATGTTTGTGAAAAGTTTATTATGAGAGATTATAGATGGCGCTATTCAAGAATATAAATAGTTTACGTTGTAATACATAGATGGCGCTAATCGACATAATTTTCTTTTTATTTTAATTAGTTAATTTAATGAGAAAATACAAATTTTTGTTTATTTCTATTACAGCTGGCCAACATTATAACGCTACCATTTACTAATGATGCACAGAAATTACTACAAAATTATACGACGACATTTCTGAACGTTTTATCTTATATTATTATATGCAAAATAATATCATAAACTAAAAGTATTTTTATTTATCCCTCTACATTTATTCTTTCTTCTAGGTTTTTTTTAATAATTTTATTTCCAATTATAAATTGCGTTACCTAAGATATAAGGTAAATTATAAATAGTTACACAAATACGTACCCTGCGATCTCCCTGCCATATGTCACCAATCGAAATTAGCAGATGACTTTAAAGAAAGTTTTTGTAATGTATCATAGGTATTCTACTATCATGATTAGAGTAGGTTCCTAAAAAAAATTGGTAAAATACAGACTGTTTATAAATTACGAAGTTTACTATAATGTATTTATAGTAGAAGGAATTTTAATAACCAACTAAAAATTATAATACTTACTATGAACAAAATGTAACATTCGTTGGAATAATAACTATGTTAAAGAAAAAAGAATTTTGATTTTTATATTATTTTTATTTACTATGTACATAATTTAAACAGTTAACATTAAGTATAAGAATAGTTTGAAGAATGAGATATTTTAAATTCTAATTTTAATAAATGTACAGAGAAAAATATTGACCTTGCGACCAAATTTATACGTACAATCTTTGCTCAAGGCAGGTAATAATATATTCCTTTTCTTGACTTTACAGGACACACATTTATTTTTGTCACAATGATAATATTATTTTTTTATTAATAATAATATTAATTAATCATTCATCAGTGTTTGATGAAGTCCTGGCCCCCAAACTATCATGAGCTGATAGTTATCAGGACTCAGTTCCTTCCCAAAAACAAAAGGATTACAAATTCAACTTCTGTGAAAATAATTAGAATTTTGATATACCAACATTTCAGTGGTCAACCTTTGGGACTAATTTAATCTCTATTAGGTATACCAATTACGGCTGTAATTGTCTAAATATATCTAAAAGAAACAATAGGACAACATAGCTAATATTCTATCTCTCTTGCGTTTTAATTTTACGTTTCAAGTTATTAATTAATTTGCAATTATATTAGATATGTATATATTATATTATACGCTGGACAGATGTATAATTCTATTAATGACGTTCAAATATTTACCTAATAGACCTTGATCAGTAGAGTTACTCGGAGGACACTTGTCGACGCTGACGCACTCTCCGTCTGTATTGCGGAGAAGTCCAGTTGCGCATACGCATCCCGATTGGCAGATTTTCATGCAAATCGGCTCAGGATCGTCGCACGCCGGCTCGCAGTTTCCGTTACAAATGTCGTACACCTCGTTCTGGTTGAAACATTGTTCTGAATGAAAGAAAGAGCAATAAAGTTTAATATTTTTGTACAGAAAAAGACAGTGGTAAAGATATAATATATATTATGTATAATCATGAAGTTACCTTTTGAAGGTAGACCTACTTTGCTACATTATCATCAATAAAAAAACTTACGTGAAGGACACTTGTTGAGAGCTATACACTCGTTGGTATCCTCGTTACGCACGTATCCAGATTTGCAGAAGCAGCCCATACTGCAGGCGACACCACAGACTAATGGCTCCGGCTGCGAACAGGTACCAGGGCAGGCGGTGCCGCAGGACAGAAACTCCTCATTCACTCCACAAACTGAAGCCTTACCTGTAAAGAATTTTATTTTTATCTTACTAATCTTATATATAACATTCTCGTATCGTGTTTGTTATAAAACACCTCCGATTTTTATGAGTGCATATCGGGAAGGTCTAAAAATCGACCTCGATCGACTTCTACCTTTCATACCACTCAATGAGTTTTTATATTTTTGCCAAAACTTTTATTTAAAATTTTTATAATACGGATTTAAAAAAACATGTTTTTAAACTTTCGTGTTTAATATACATTATTTTATATTATTAACTGGGTTAACACGGTGGCTGAAAAAACTGCTGTCACCTATCTACATTGACATCGCTGTTACTCCAGTCAGCTCGTGACCACGGCTAGTGAACCTAGTCGAAACGTCGAGTGAGGTAAATGCATTTGCCATAAAATTAGTTCGTGTTAAGACCCGGTTAATAATATAAATAACATATACCCCTAAATTTTCACCCTTCTACCATCAGCCCCAATTTTAATAGCGATATTCGAATTTTAAAAATTTCCTACGCTCGGCGGTCGGAAACTATACTAATTTATATGACAAAACAACGTTTTTTTATATAATCTGAATAGCAAACAAGCGTTAGTATCGCTTACCACCAGGTTTACCAATCCAAAAATATTAAAAAAACGTAATTCTAGAAATTCTCAAGAAAATAAACTAACCACCAGTGCATTGCTCAGCGTTAACACATGTGCCATTCTCGTCCCTCAAGTAGCCAGTCTTGCAGAAGCATCCTTCCACACAATCCTCGGAACAGGTGACGGGACCTACAGGGTCGGTACAGTTGAATGGACACGCCGATCCGCACAGGAGGTACTCCTCATTTGATGGACACTCATCTAAAAATAAATAGCAATAATATGAATCCAGAATAGAAAGAAATAGAATAGAATAGAAAATCATTTATTCAAATAAACTTACATTGAAGCACTTTTAAATAGTCATAACATTTTTTTTTAATCTACCGCTCATTCGGAATTCTGTCTCATCACAAGAAGAACAAGCAAGAAACTTGTGTGTTGCTCTTTTAAATAATTTATTCTTACTTACAATTTAAGTTTAAGTGTGTGAATACAAACCGCCGATTAGCACTAATTCAATAAAATAATAAAATAATAAAAACATATACAACAACTGGTTAAACAATTAATAAGAGAAAATAAGTCATAGTGATTAGAGCAGACCAGTCCACACAAGCAGCACCCGTTCACGAGTATGACGGATGAGCCAGCCACCAGGATATATATATGTATATATTTATATTCACCCAACAGTAATACTTATAAAATATTTGTCTAATGGTGACAGAGACAAGTTTTGGATGCCACTACATCAGTGGCGGATCGTGAATTTGTGGGGCCCTGGGCTAAATCTACTTAGGGGTCTACATAATTATATTACTCAACTAAAAAATACACCGACCAATAACAAGCGACCAGAAATTCCCCGTTCCTTTCGATAGACGCGCACTTGCATTGGTTGATTGATCTCAGGGTTGCCAACCTTATGATAGGTTTTTTAATATTCTAGATATTTTTTTATACTCCAAATATCGTTTCAGTGGGGACTGGGGGATCTTTGTATCCTCGGGGCCCTGGGCTGCAGCCCAAAAAGCTCTTAGGTAGATCCGCCCCTGCACTACATGATAAACAGATTAACATCAATACTTTCTTATGTAGGAGTGTTTTTGTGTGTGTTTTAGAGTTTGTAGATAATAATTGTATAATATTCTTGCATTAAAATAGTTAACTGTATTGTATAGGTACGTATATCACATATTTTTCGTATGCGCGCTACCAGCCCTCAAGATACTGACCTAGTTTGGGGACTACTGAAATATAATTTTATTGTAGTAAATAAATCTATATTATTTATCACACAGCACCATCTAGTTCCAAGTTAAGCAGAGTATGTTGTTTACCAAATTTTGTAACCCGGTAGTAGGAGAATCCGACTGGTATATATACATACATATATAAAAAAATACTATACATATATAATTAATATAATATTTATTTACTGCCAGAAAAAAAGACACATCTACATATATTTGAGTGCATACATTGTTTTATTAAAATACATAAAAAAGTATATTAATATATAAGTTTGAAGTTATTATTTCATAGAAATACCTATGTGACCCCGGGACGAATTTCTAGTATATACACTTAGTTTGTGATGTTTACTGGTGTTTCAGGCGTCCATAGGCTACGGTAACCGTTTACCATCAGATGGGCCGTATGCTTGTTTGTCACCATCGTAGTATAAAAAAAAAACATACAAAATTGAACTCTCGTATGTTATGTTTTTTACCATTCTATTCTAGCGCCACCTACCACCTCTCTACCCAAAGGTTGTCTGGAAGAGATTGCATAAGCGGTAAGGCCGCCTCTTGTGCCTCATTACTGTGTTAATTTTTATTCATGTAATTTATCTGATGCAATAAGGAGTATATTAGCATTACATAGTATAAAATAAAGTCGCTGTCGCTATAGTTTTAAAGATTTAAGCATACATAGGGACAGACCCTATGTATGCTTAAATCTTTAAAACTACGCAACGGATTTTGAAGCGGTTTCTTTTAATAGATAGAGTGATTCAAGAGGAAGGTTTATATATATAATACATGTACACCCGTGCGAAGACGGGGCTAGTAGCTAGTAAATAAATAAATAAATTCTAGCTCTAATGTTAAAAAATTGAAGAAACAAACGAATATTAACGTAAACAATTTACGAGTTTGTTCCATAAAGAAAATGACTGAAATCGTGACAAAATTAGTATGCCACCCACATAGAATAATTTTATAAAATACTTACTAATATTATAAATGCGAAAGTAACTCTGTCTGTCTGTCTGTCTCGCTTTCACGCCAAAACTACTCAACCGATTTAAATTAAATTCGATACCCAAATGTCTAGACCATAAAAATAGACATAGGCTACATTTTAATGCGAATAAAGGGTTGTAAGGGGTTGTAAGGGGTTGAAAGGAGGGATGAAAGTTTGCATGGGAGTATTATCATTTTTGAAGCAAAAAAATTGAAACTTATGTTTTAGATTGCTGAATAAATATAAAAATGAAGGGCTACAATAAAATAGGGGATGAAAGTTTGTATGGCAAATTGACATTTTTGAATTTAAAATAATGAAACTTTTAGAATCGCTTAGATTATTGATTGTTTTTTCTTTATTTGATCAAAGTAACTATAAAACGGCCTTTGTTCAGCAGTGGACGTTTTCCGGGCTGATGAACTATAAAACGCGGACGAAGTCGCGGGCACAGCTAGTAAGTTATAATTAGTGTTCTTATTTCTTGAAACCTAATATAAAACGACTTTATTAAATTGTATAATACAGTTTTGTTAAGGAATAAAATTAATAAAACAAACAACGCACAATTTATGACGGACTTGGAAATATTATTTAATGAAACGTTCATTTTTGTACTCGTTTTAGTAAATGTTTTCTTGTTAAACTTGTTTTTGTTTTGCGAATAAATAATTTTATTCGAAAAAAAAAATGTTTCGTCCACATCGAAAACCTTAAATGATAGAAATAGAAATAGAAATAATCTTTAAATAAACTTAATATAAGCACTTTTGAATAGTCAAGTATTTTGATTCTACCGCTCATTCGAAATGCAGACTCATTACAAGAAGAATAAGCATGAAATTTGTGTGTTGATATTTTATGTTCATACCTATATAAATAATTAAAATTGAAGTGTTTGTTTGTAATATTAAATTAACAGTTTTTCACTAATTGTATATTAATAATAATCATATATAATCCCTGTACAATTAACACAGCGCCATCTAGTCCCACGGTAAGCAGAGCTTGTGTTATGGATACTAGACAAGTGATATAAATCGATTATTTTTTGTAAAGACATTAATAATATATATAGAAAACACCCAGACCGATACAAACAATCGTACTCACGAGTACAAAAGTTTGCACCGTGCGAGGAATCGAACCCGAGACCATCGGAAGTCAAGCGGTGTGCTAAACTGCTAGAGGCCGTTATATGAAAGTATATACGGTTTTAAAATCAATAATTAATTTCAAAATGTTTTGCCTGTATTTGTTATTGCTAATCTCTGAAACAGTTTTACCGATTTTGATGGGACTTTCACTCGCCGATATGTCATACAATACTATAATCATAATAATACCACAGATAAGATAATATTACATAAATATCAAATATTCATATGTGACGTTCTATATTTAAATTTATAGAATTTATTTATAATTGTATTATTTGGCTATTTGCGATCACAAACATTAATAACAAAAAAAAACTTTGCCTTGTATATATTAAACGATATAATAATTTGTCAAAATAAAATACTTTTTTATTTTAGTTTGCTAAAAACTTAGTGTAGCCTGCGTGTGGCCAGTAAAATTCGTTTACGATAAAATTGAAATGGCTAATTATTCCGTAAAACTTTGTTAAACTGATTAAATTAATGAAATTTCAATATTTACTGTATAATGGACGCAATGAAAGGCATATTGGTTGTAATATTTTTCATTTTGGAATCGATTTGTTTTATGCTCAGTGAGTACAAAAATATATGACCACGTTTTTTTTAACAAAGTCGAGTACCTGATTTAAAATGTGGTTTCTACGATTGTCACATTTGTGACATACACACGCTTAAATGTATTTTAAGTAATGAATTGTCACAAATGTGACAAATGTGTGGTAATTTTATTAAAAAAATTTAAGCAAATTTGGTGTAATTTTGGTTAATAAATGTTAGCGATGGCAGAGTTTACTGCTGTGCCTAATTATTGCTAACAAAACAGCCTCGGCGGTCCAGTAGTTTAGCCTTGCTTCCGATAGTCGCGGGTTACATCCGTCAGGTAGCAAAAATTTGTACTCATGAGTATAATTATTTGTATTGGTTTGGGCATTTTCTATGTATATTATATATTTAGGCATTTACAAATATTAATAATATTATAAACACGAAAATTTGTAAGTATGGATGTTTGACTACTGAACGGATTTTGATGAAACTCTACAGTAATATAGCTTATGAATCAGAATAATATATAGGCTATATTTTTTATTGAAATCTATGTATTGAAATTTGAATTACAACTATTAAATAAATATTATTTTTCTCGTTCTTCTACAAAAATATATATTACCTATATTAAAGTATTTCTATCAGTTGTCTAGTACCAATAACATTAGCTCCACTTATCTTAGAACTCGATGGCGCTGCGATCCAGGAAAAATATGTCTATAGACTGAATTCTTATTTAACTGAATCTGTAATCATTTTCAGAGAAGGAATGTCCACAATCAGAGACCCATAAGTCTTGTTCGTTCTTCGAGGAGTATACTTGCTGGGTCAGCAAAGAGAAGAAGACGAGAGTGAAGACCAGACCGAAGAGACTGTTACACTGTCGCGCCGGTTGTTTTTGCAAGTAGTCAATAATATTTCTATTATACTACTAGTTATTACCTGTGACTTCGTCCGCATGGAATTTAACTTTTTTATGTTATCATAATCTTATTAATTAAGTTTGTTACTCTTTCACGCAAAAACTATTGAACGGATTTTGGCACTTTACAGTAATATAGATTACGCATCAGAATAATACATAGGCTATATTTTATATTAAAATTAAGCGTGGGTGAAACCGCGGGCATAGTTAGTATATTTATAAATATAATTATCAAAATAAAAGTAGCCTAAGTTACTACTACTTAACATTAGTTATCTGCGAGTGAAAGCCCCTTTTAAAATCGGTCCAGCCATTACAGAGATCAGCAAGAACAAACAGAAAGTTAGACAGACACACAGACAATTTTTTTTACGTAACAGCATTTTATTAAACTCATATGAAAGTGTACGAGTATACGGTATCTATATGAAAAGCTGTTAATTAGAAATTACAAACAGGCACCTATTTTTTTTTATTTATGTTCATTGGCAAGGTACAGGATCACGATACATTAGTCCTCTCGAATGACAATCCATTAGTAAAAAAACCCGATTCTGCAGTGTCTCGAGAAGACAACGGCAAGACTACCTTAGGTAGTGGAATGAACTCATTCCACTACCTAAGGTAGCTGCTATAAAAACGCACTGTCCGAGACCACTTAGGTTCCAGCATAGAACAAAAGATGTGTTCTGTGAGTTCCAGCGTGTGGGAATAGATTCCCTGTCGATGTAAATGCATAAAAATATATTTGGCTTTCCAGGAAAGGTTCCGTGCGAGCATACCCTTCAGGACCCTGCATACAACGCAATGAATGGACAAAAGTCGATAGATTCTCAGGTCGAATTTGAATATTAAATAAAAAAAAAATACATATGGAAAATATATTGAGGGTATTTCTAAAATGAAATTTAGTGATTGTTCTGTACTATAAGCTTTAACCTCTATAGACTTTTCTATTTCGTGAATATTTTCTAGATAGATCGGTGCCACGGGATTGAAGCTATATTTATGTTTCATATCTAACATTTCAATAATTAAGTTTTTAGTATTTATTACACTGGGGTGCATGATACCTATTTGTGCGAATGCCATAGCGTCTTCTAAGATCATTAGCTTATCTAATATTAACTGTAAACTAAAATCTATTTGAATATATGAACTTGTAATAAAAAATAAAAAATAACGTTATATTTTGTATAATTATTTAATAAACATTCAACAAACACAACACAAAAACAAGTGACTTAACAACGAATGAGTATCATGGGTTTATTTCTTCTCTATTGCGTTACGGATTGCTAATCTGAGGGAACTCATGTGATATAGATAGAGCCCTTTGCAATGTCGGATGCAAAGAATCATGTAGATCTCTATTTAAGAAACTTGGTATACTTCCGTTGCCTTGTATGTATGTACTTGATATCAGAACGTTTGTGAAACAACATCCAAATTTGTTTATCACGCATGATCAGATAAAGGACTGTCGCAGATCACAGAGAAATAATGAAATACTGGTACCAAAGAGCAATTTGACGTTTTACCAAAGGAACGTATCATTTATGACACAAAAATTTTTTAATAAATTAATCCCGGACTGGAGGAAATTGCCCATAAATAAATTAAAAAATCGATAATATTACTGGTTACTGGACAAGTGTTTTTATGACATCAGAGAATATTTATCTGATGATTATTGATTTTTTTATATTATATAATTATTACTATTAATATATAATTATAATACTGCATAGGACATTAATTTTAAATTATAATATTATAGATTATTTAATTTTAATATACTCAAAATTTGCATTCCCGTAAATTGAGGCAATTAAACAGTTGCCAATAATATTATTATTATTACCAGGACATATTACCGAATATCTAACTGTATAATACGCAAATAAATTTCATTTTATTTCAGAACAATGATATTTTTTTGAGAGTTTTGGGCTATGGACAGGTGTTCAAACCAGTAGCACTGCGACCTATATACATATTCTGCCAGTGATTCAGAGCTTCCTGTTCTGTTATTATTTTGACATGTCCCAGTTTTAGGCAATGAAGTACATCACAGAAGAGTTCGAGGACCTGTTGGGCAGTTTTGACCCTAACTTTGCCAGATACATGTATCTAAATATATATAACACAAAGGTGACTGACATAGTGATCTATCAACGCACAGCCCAAACCACTGGACGGAGCTGGCTGAAATGGCATTGAAATGCAGGTAGATGTTATGACGTAGGCATCCGCTAAGAAAGGATTTTGATTAATTCTACCCCCAAGGGGATAAAATAGGGGTTGAAAGTTTATATGAAACTTTGTCAATTTTAAACCGATCGGGCTGAGACTTTGCATGTATAAAGCTACTATGACGTAAGCATCCCCTAAGAAAGGATTTTAAATTACCGCGAGTGAAGCCGCGGGCAAAAGCTAGTGTATTATAATACAACTAGCTAACCACCCCGGCTTCGCACGGGTGTACATGTATTATACATATAAACCTTCCTCTTGAATCACTCTATCTATTAAAAATCTGTTGCGTAATTTTAAAGATTTAAGCATACATAGGGACGGACGGACAGACAGCGACAGTGACTTTATTTTATACTATGTAATGATGCAAAATCCAAAACATTAAAAAATACAAAACCATAAACAAAATGCAGCTGAAGACAATGGAAGAACAATAAATAGACAAAAACACAAAGGGAAATTTGCAAACATACATTCAAATCCACGTTTATTTGTATGCGTCAATGATCAATAACTACTCTATGGTGTTCACCGAATAGTTGAGTGCCCAGCATATTGCTGCAGCGTTTGTGGCGCTACAGTTGCTTTTTTTAGCACAAAACTTGGAGTCCAGTATTCAAATGAATAGACATACCTACTATATAATCTACACATATAAATAAAATTTGAGTGTCTGTTTGTAATATTAAAATAACCGTCTTTTACTATATGCATATGAATATAATACGGTACATACACCATAATAACATTTTTTACAATTTTTGTCTGTCTGTCTGTCGGTCTGTTTGTTCCGGGTAATCTCTGAAATGGCTGGACCGATTTTGACGGGACTTTTAATGTCAGGTAGCTGATTGAATAAGGAGTAACTTATTCTACTTTTATTTTAGAAATATAAAGTTAATGTCCACGTGGACGAAGTCGCGGGAACATCTAGTTATAAATATATATATATATATATATATATATATATAAAATTTTCACCTTTGACTATCTTGATGGTGCTTTATCAAGGGATGTTCGCTTTATAAATAATCGAGCTTAGTCTTCACAAACTTTCACCATCTGTTTTATGATAGATTATTTTTTGGGTCTAAAGATAGCTTCTATTCTATTGTAGTACAGTCTTTCTTCACTTTAGACGGCGTCTGTGGCTTAATGGTTTTGGACACCGTTTTCTGATGGGAGCGGGTATACTCATGTAGGTATAGTAACATTTGTATTTTTTTATAATTGTTCGTTGCTGCTCTTTTTCTACTTTTGTGCCAGTGCAAATAAGTAAAAATGCATGAATCTCTCTAACGGTATCGAGCCACTTAGTTTGAGGCGAGACTTCGCTTCGCTTTGTGTGTTCTTCCGATTATACAACGGACTGTGTTCTGAGGAATTGTTCGACATGATGCCTACGGCCACCTTTCACCATCGCACCGCTCGCCATCGACAGGGAATTCGAATGAATTGTGGGAATCCACACGCTGGAACTAAGTGGTCTTGGACAGTGCGGTTTCAGAGGAGCTTCCTCCTGCGTACACTTAGATTGTGGAATGAACTTCCGGCCGAGGTTTTCTCACGAGACTACAGCATGGGGTTTTTCAAGAAGGGTATATTAAGGTTTCTTAAGGGCCGGCAACACGCACGTGACACCCCTGGTGCTTCAGGCGTCTATGAGCTACGGTAACCATTTACCATCAGATGGGCCGTATGCTTGCTTGCCACCAAAGTAGTATAAAAAAAAATGTAAAATACGAATCACGTACTTACCTTTTGTTATAAAAATACCACCAGACAAAGCTACAACTCCAATTAAAACTATAAATATATTCTCATGAATTATTTTTCCGTACATATTTATTTGTGTGTATGAACTGATTGAACAACTGCAGTGGCTGAAGGCACCGACCGTTCTGGCCGATCTGGATTACCTCTATCTCAGGGTTGGCACGACCTTATCACCGGTTGAATGCTCTTATAGACAAAAAATTGGTGGCATCCTTGGATGCATTGGTCTGTGACTGAATTGAATACACCATTATGCAGTTCTGGACATAATAATATTGTGCAATAAACAAACATTGTTTGTTCATGACGGCCTCGGTGGTTTAGCGGTTCAACACACTGCTTTATTTACGATGGTTGCGGGTTCGGTTCCTCGCACGGTGCTAACATTTGTATTCATGAGTAGGATTGTTTGTATAGGTAAAATATCTATTTCTATCAGTTGTCTAGTACCTATAACACAAGCTCTGCATATCTTGGGACTAGATGGCGCTGTGTGAATTGTCTTGGATTGCTATTATTGTCATAATAATTGTTTTAATATTACGCTAGATTCAAACTTATGAATGGTTTATGTCAGGTACCAGTAAGCCATCGGCTAATAATTGGGCCAATTAATAATAATAATATCTCAGAATAATTCCACAGGGCCATCTAGTCTCAACCTAAGCAGAGCTTCTGTTATGGGTACTAGATTGGTACAAATATATAGATATTTTTATAAATACATACATAGTATTCATATAAAATACCCAGACCGATAAACGATCATATGCATGAATACAAATGTTTGTACCGTACGAGGAATAAAACCCGCGACTATCGGAAGTAAGGCGGTGTGCTAAACCGCTACACCACTGAGGCCGTTGGTTTAATACTATAAAACATTAATATAACAAAACATACCCACAGTTTACACAACTCACTATCAGTATGATGATTTGGCAATATATCACCTGATTGGATGGCCGGTCAAACAAACATGCCCACCAATGTTGTCCGTTCGTATTAAATTTCGATTTATTATATTGTTCTTTGCGGGCAATACAAGTTAATACAACAGAGTATGTCCGTTGACAAAGGATCTTTAATATTGTATCCTTTTTTTTGACAGGAAATCCTCCTCACGATATTTTCTGATTTTCATGAGTGTCATGATATCAGCAGCAGAATCACTTTCCATTTGATTACATCCCTCTATCTGTGTCGGTCTTTTTCTTAATGCAGGGTATTATGGAACGTAGTATCCAGAGGAGCGTACTAGGTCAGAACATATTGTGTGCCCTCTAGGACGTTTCCCATCCACCCTGTTACTCACCATCAACTGTTCCAGGTTATGACCTTCTTTCTGAGTGATGTGTGGAGTTTGTTTTTGACGTTAAGTTCCAGTAGGTTAGAGATGTTGTTGCGGAAAGTAGTTCATCGGATTTGGACCATTTTCCTCCTGCACCACATCTCAAATGCATCAATTGGTTTCGGCCCGCTTTCCTTAGAGTCCAAGTGTCAGCCCCATAAAATAATATGGAGAAGATTAGTGTATTTACTAATTGAGATTATAGAGAATACTTTCTATTTACTAATTTTGTTTTGGTCCTTCGTGAGATGTTACGGTCTCTTTCATGTATTGAAACTAACAGTATTTCTATGATAGACCCCGATTACCACATAGTGTCAGGTGGGCCACCAGTTTGTTTGCTGATATAATTATTTAAAGAAATAGGAAACTTCTAGAGTACGATGCTTTCAAAGATATTTATTATTATTATTATAGATGTCATTTTTGTTTATTTTTAACATGAATTAACCATGATGGTTTACAGAGAGGACGCAGGACGTCAGGACGTCAGGGCGATCTCCTCTGACTACTAGTCCCCATTACTAATTATTGCTTCCCGTATGTTATTATTATGAATGAATGAAACTCTTTATTGTTCCTCTCACAGAAAACACAGTTTATAATACAGAAATGTTATTAATATACAAATATAAGAATACGTATACAACCAGACATACAACAGTAATACTACTATAACGATAACTTACATAAATAGTGATTTTCGATACCTAATTTGAAACTGCAGTGATTTTAATCTTCGAAGAGATATGAACAGTTCGTTTCAAAAAGAACAGCTAGTACACTAAACGATTTGTCATAGAATCTAGTGCTATGTCTTGGTGTCTTTAACTGCAGACTCTCTGATGACCTAAGATCAACGGTAGTCGAGGTATGGAGTAATGTATGTATTGATTTATGCACAAACAGTAAACACAGTAATTTTTGTTACATTATTAATGATTTAAACCCAACGGTCCAGTGTTTACTCGACGTCTCTTTGTTTCAGTGAAAAATTACTGTTTCCCTTTGAAATTCGTTTCCTTCTACTTTGTTGGAAATTACAATGAAATGTAAATTTTAACACGTGTATTTAGAACTGAGTTTGGATTGTCAAGACTTAAGGTTTAACACATGAAATAAAACTATAAATTATGAGTTGGAATGTAATATTAATTTCATTATAAACTTGCTTAATTAAAATTAGATGTTGTGTTTTAATTTCTACATTAATATTAATAGACGCTTGTAAAATAAATTTGAAATGTTCACAAGTTCTGTGCATAACGCAGCTTTTTATATGATAATTATATATTTTTATATATATTTTTAATTATTTTATGTTTCGTTCCTTTTTTAAATAAATATGTCTTTACCTTCAGCGACCGTAGTTTCTCTGATAACTAAATATAAAATATAAAAATATAGTCCTTAAGAAACATCAGTCATTAAAAAGTTTTTTATCAAACATTATTTCATTTGTATATATTCACAATATTATGATATCTATATTAATACGTGAAGTAAAAACTTTGTAGGCCTTTTTACGAAATTTGGGCTGATGAAAGAGTATGAAAATATTGCAAAACAAATACTAAATAATATATAAATAAAAAAAAAACTACACACATTACCATATATTTAACACACACACACACACATAGATAGTATATAGTTTGTATAGTAAAAAAAAAATTGTAATGTGTTGAACTCGAAATTTTCTCTTTTTATTTTATTTTCTCTGTTTATCTCATTTAATTATTATGTAGTCAACAATTGTGTTTTTATGAAATCAAACTAAAATATCTTAATTAGTCTGATATGTCAAACTCACTGATCTGTAATTGTTTGGCAATTCTTTTGTGGACTCCCGCGATACAGGATCGCCTAGTGCGGGGTCAATGTATGATAAGTTTTGTAATATTTATACGTTTTAAAAAATTAATAAATATAAAAAATAAAAAGTAGTCTTTGATATTACGATCAAACTTCCCATCTATACTTATAATAAATCTGTTGAGAGATCAATTCTGTACATGAAATATATTCCCAAAATACCTATCAGGGGGTGATTAGTGAAACGTAAAGTAAAATTCGACGCGGACGAAGTCGCGGTACAGCTAGTACGAAGTATAATAATTGTCATCACTCCCACCAGTCACTGCAGTCCTCTCTCCTAAGGCGCTATAATAAATATAATTTATAATAATTAACACGTATATAATAATACATATTATATATACATAAATACATACAAGTGTCACACGATAACGAGCCGTCAATGTGTTCGCTATTCCAGTTACGTAAAAATAATGCGAAAGTCAATCTGTCTGTCCGTTTATACGTCTATTTATTACTAGAACCATTTCACAACTAAACGGCTAAACGATTATTGTTTCACTTGAAGATAGATCACATTACGACGACAGATTTAGGCTATCTTTTATGTCACAAAAAGCAGACAGAGTCGCGTGGAACAACTAGTGTAAAAGGGTTGTTTTCTGAATCTTCCGCGCTCGTGACGTGTGACAGAAAAGTCAATACACACTTCGTTTCATCTCAAATTTCCTATTCGACGTTAAAATTCAATTTTGTATCAATACGACAAGATATTGTAATAAGCCAGTTTTGAAAAGTCTGAGCTTTATGCCCTTACATTCTTATACATCTACCATGAAAATAGAAATATTGACGACCTCGGTGGTGTAGTGGTTTAACACATCGCTTTATTTCCGATGTTTGCGGGTTCGATTTCTCGAACAGTGCAAACATATGTTTGAGTGTATCGGTCTGGTTGTTTCCTGTGTATATTATGTATGTATTTAGAAAAAAAAACTGTATCTATGTATTTATATCAGATGGCTAGTATTCATAACACACCGTACCAACAAACATTATAATCGTATTATAATGGAAGTCTAGAACATTCTAAGCAGATCAGATCCCATGAGAAAATTCTGGTACGGTAAGCAGCTTAAAATCCAACGATAAGCATTAAGTATGTATGTGTATATAAGTCTGTAAAACTATATAAACATATTTCTCTAAGCATAAACTTCGGAATACCTCAAGGATTTTCCAGGATTGCAACCAGGGACGGCTTCAAGGTATACATAATATATATTATTCCATTTTTATAGCCTATGTACAATATACGAGTAGATAGAATTTTATTATTATTATCTATCGGTACATAACACAAATTATCATGTACTAGCTTTTGCCCGCGGCTTCGCTCGCGTTGATTTTTCCCCTTAGGGGCGGAATTTATCAAATTACTTTCTTAGGGGATGCCTACATCACAGTAGCTTTATGCATGCAAAGTCTCAGCCCGATCGGTTTAAAATTGACAATGTTTCATACAAACTTTCATCCCCTATTTTATCCCCTTGGGGGTAGAATTAATCAAAATCCTTTCTTAGCGGATGCCTACGTCATAACATCTACCTGCATGCTAAATTTTAGCCCGATCCGTCCAGTGGTTTGGGCTGTGCGTTGATAGATCACTATGTCAGTCACCTTTGAGTTATATATATTTAGATTACTGCATGAAATACTGAAAGAAGAAAATTTCCAATCTTTATTAAATTGGCAGTATTTTGACAAGAAAATCTTTATTAAATTGTAGCTTTGGTGTAAAGTTTGACATATTGTACCTGTGCATTAAAGATTTAATGAATAAATAAATATTGTATGTTAAACATTAGCTCCGTGTAATGTTATTAATATTTAAATAG